TGAACTGAGCCTGAAGACCTTCCATCCACCTGCCCCCCACATGCGCTGTATAACCCTACGGGTTTAGCCCTCCCCCATGTTTTATAATAGCCAGGCAGTGCAAACCCCTAGACCCAGCATTAAAATGTCCCCAGGGCTCGATATTGTGGCTAGCTCTCTGTAGAAGGCATATCCTTAGGTAAAGCTGGGCTTTGATGACCTAAGGCAGGAAAATATCCTGTGAATTTTTTGTACCCAGTGCTAAGATTTCAGTTGAAGTAAGAAAAGCAAAAGAACGTTATCTTCGGTGTGCGAACCGTCGCCTAAATTGCACGGGTACGGGGCTACATATCTTAAGGGGGCCATCTTAAAAAAACATATTGTATACAGAGGGAAATGCTAAACCCAGAAAGGTCATATGGGAGGGGATGATATTCAAGTACTGAATTAAGAATCCTTTACCAATGGCCCCCCCCTTCCCCTTTAAAGGGGAACGGGAAGTAGCAAACAGAAATGCTTCAGGAAGTATATAAGTTTGTAAGGTAAATAAGGAAATTTTTAAAGTCATACATTTAACTGGGGGCCTGCACTTTGACTGAACTTTAGAGACTGGCCCAGCCAAACAGTTTTTGGGGTCTACTGCGAAAAACTGAGGGAAAGAGGGAAAAGGGTCTGTTTTAGATAACTGGGGGTTCTACGTATGGGTATGGGGCAAAATGTTTGTGTTATCAAGTGGGGGTTCTCATAGATCCCTATTCAAATAACAGGGAGCTGTAATTTTTTTAATTTAGTTTCAATAATACTCGTTTAGCTGCATCCCACCGCCATTTAAATCCCAGCTGTTTTTTGGTTGTCTACCAGATAGGGAGTTGTACCTCAGATTTCACTATCTTTAAAGAATAATATCTTGAATGATTCGCAACAACCCACTTTTTTCGTCTCCAACTTGTGGTTGTGAATTGTTCCCAAGTATTGTGACTTTGAAGGTTTCTTCTTTAATCCTATTTTCCCCTATACTATGATGGGGCACATTATTAAACCCGTTCGGACCTGCTCTCTGAAAAGCCCTATATACGAGGTACACCCGGGAACAATTGCAGGTCACACCTGCAAGACTGCAGAGATCCAGGAAAATTAACTGGTACAGACCTACCAAAAAACGGAAGGGACCACTTTTGAGAGAAGACACCAAAAAATTTATGATTGGCTGAATAAAATCAAGAACTTTTTACTAGACCAGTTTTAAAGAGGGTGTCTGAATTTTTTTTTTTTTTCCAACTTTTCGATTTTTTTTTGCTCATAACTCAAAAACGCCTCATCCAATTGGTTCAAATTTTCAACACTTTTACGGTAACAGAAAATCCGGGGGTTTTTTAGGGTTTTTTAAAAATTTAACAGGAAAAAATTTTCCCCTATTTTCCCAAACAACTTTTTCTGCATTTTTTCGTTAGATTTCTCGAAAATTTTCATTTTTATTTAGGCACGTATTCAACGGCTTCAAATTTTAAAGGTTTGTGAAGTTTTGGGGTAAGATCTGGGAAACTTTTTGGAACCCCTAGTGCAGTACGCACAATGCTGCATAAGTTTCCCCAAATTTTTGTTTCCGTTGGAGGTAGAGACATGCTCCTTTGAGGGCTTAAAAATCTAAACAGTCGTGTATCCTGTTAGTAAAAGGTTGGTATTTTTTAATGCAGTGTGTAGATACCATTTTGCCACGTTTAATCTCGAAATGTTATAGATCATTTTACAATGTTCATTACATTTTTTTCCCTTGAGCTGGGAGGGGGCTTTTGACCCAAGGAACTAGAATTTTTTGTTTGGGATCGAATTTGAAGCTTCTTTTTCCCACAGGCCTATATGTACCCGGGGGGGTTTACTTTTTCATCTGAATAAAATAGAATTTGATCGACATAATTCTTTAATGGCTGACCGTCGTTTGTTTAATTCAGGGGGAGCGAAAACCCTAGGATTAACATGCATGTGGGGGGGGGAGGCATTCGGGGAAACTGGAGCACAGATCCAATTCCCTAGAAAAGAGCCCCTAAACCGCATAAAGGAAACCCCCCCTTGAGGGGACCCGCTTTTGAAATGGAAACTTTTAGGGGTTTTGGGCTGTGTAGGAACAAATTTTTTTGGGACTGTGCAATAATCGGAAAAAATGCATCTTTTGGTCAGCTTTAAACTTTTAGTACGATTGTTTACCAAAAAGGGAAACAATCTCCTGATGTTACCGTATGCCTTTTTTAATTATAAAATTTGTTTGTGAAATAATAGGAGAATGTCTCTTTAAAGAAATAAGTCATTTGACTTTTATGTCCATAACTGTGTGCCCGAAAATCATTTTTTAAAGTTTGTATGTATGTACGCTAACTTACATAAAACTTTTGTTCACCTAGCTAAGTAGGTATAGGTGCTTGGTGTTAGTAGACTATTGTGACCAAACCTGAATGGGGGGGGAATTTAAAACACTCCTATGGAATAAGACTGAAAACCCCAATAAGCATGGGTTCTCTTGGGGTTTTCCCAGGTGGCAATCCTCCGGGTTAAAAATCCGGCAAAGCTTATTCCCGAAAGGGAAATTGGGCTTGCGAAAGAATGTTAAAACGACAAATTCCCCAGTGTATTTTGGGGAACACTGTCCCCACCTTTAGAGCCCCCATGGTGTTATCAGAGGGAAAGGTTGGTCTTCATTCTTCGATAACTGGATTTGGGGAAAGAGAAGGCGCTATTCAAAAGACTTGAGTCTTCGGAAAAAGAAGGGAAAAAAAAACAGCGGAAAGGTGGGGAAAGTGACCTGAAAATTTTAAAGTTTTGAAGTGAACCCAAATAGAATATAAATTACGACTGGGTTTATAAACTGTTTGCCTTTAAAGGGTTTGAGAATAATGTACAAGAAATTTTTGTGGTGTGATCACATTGGTGACTGATACAACAATGTACAAAAAATACTGGCTAAAAATCCCCCTATGAATCTTTTGTTGAATGGGACAACACTGGACCCCAACAGCATAAACCCAGTTAGCGTTTTTGTTTATTTATTTTTGATAACACTTTCGTTGCTAAAAGGGAAAACCCCCAGCAGGCAGAAAACAATGGAAATGAACTATTTTATTTCCCCCTGGAGTCCTCCTCGGCAGATGTAAAAAGAGGCAGGGGAGCAAAATATAACGGTATCAGTAAAAAATAAAAAGGAATTGCATGGGAAAAACCCCTGAATTTACACACATTTCAATGGTAGACCCACAGGGTTTACACACCCATAACCTTGG